CCCCAAAACCCCAAAACCCCAAAACCCCATTTGGACGAATTTTTGTTGAAAACGTCATTTTTACATATAATCCCTAATTCTGGGAAGCCTATCCTTAACTATCTGTTTTCATGGATAAATTTCAAGACCACGTCTTGACTTCCCAGAGAGGGCTCCTGGAAGAAGGACTTGAGGAATCCAGATTCATGAGCATAGGTTCTTTCCCTGAATAAGCCCAAATCTTCTGAAGAGATCAGCAAGACTGATGAGGACACTGTACAAAATTTCTTACCAATTTTGAACTGGACAAACAAAGAACTCGAAAGCCACTCAAAGAACAAAGCTTTCCCTGTCTCAGGCAGGTTCCAAGGATACGATCTCTGCTTACTACAGAGGATCTTGTCTATACAGTGCTTGCTGTAGTTATCTAATTTCAGATGCTCTGAAATGCTATCTTGAGCATCAGAAGGCTCCTTCTCTTCCTCATCATTGTCTGATTGGGTCTCTGAGAGGGCCTCAAAGTCATCTAAGCTTTGGTTGATGAGGTTAGTGCCTAACTCAACTTTCTCCCATTCTGAGATATTTCCGTTTGACATTCCATAGAGGATACCTGGCTGGATGAAGATGGGCTTTTGACTTTCAACAATCTCTGTATTGATAAAATAACTTTTCTTACCAGGATTCCCATTGCTGATGTGGTAAAGGTAGCTCCCCCTAGGGTTGTCTTGGAGCAGCTCCTCTGCATTGTCAGGGGTAATTTCAAAGACCTCATCATCAACTATGCCAAAGATTAGGTTAAAGCCTCTGTAGTCTTGAAGTTTTGAGAATACATCTTGTGTATACTCTTCTCTAGAAATATCGGTTTTCACCCAATTCATGATGAGTTCTCCACGTGAAGGAGGATTCTCTCCTACATCAGGAATATTAGGAGTAGAAGCACGGTAGTTTGTTAGGAAGGCGATCCTCCTAGTCTTCTTGTTGTATGCAAGCCATGAAGTCCCTGTCTCTTTGTCCTTGCCGCACAGGATATCTCCATGAGCTTGAAGTCTATGGTTTAATGACTAAGGTACTTTTCAGCTTCTCTATCTATGTATTCATCTCTGTTAAAATAAACTCATAGCTTAAGTTTGCCTTTCTGCTTAGACATTTTAACAAAGTAGCCAAAGAAAGTAGTTCACATTAGAATTATTAATTGCGTTATTTTCAATAAAATTTGGCTAAAAAGGGGTTTTGGGGTTTTGGGGTTTTGGGG